GTAACAGCTCCTCCTGCTACTATGCCCCTTCTGGAGGAAAAGGTGGGGAACAAACCTGCCACTGCCTGTTAGAATAAAGAAGAAGTCTGCAAGTTAAAATCTAGGGTTTAGATAACCAGCTTAAGTCTCTGCTCTACACCAGATCTCTTAAGGAGAGGCCCAGTTCTCAAGGAAAGGAAGCAAAAGGAAACGTTTCCCCTGCCCAGTTGAGGGGTATTTGGCCTTAACAGGTATGGAGAATTGGAAGTCTGTTTTGTTAGCATTGTGGAAAACCTGGACACTACGCAAGGGGGTGGTAGGTCCTTTACCAACCCTCAAGAATTTCTGAGTTTCTCTCGTAATCCGAAGTGAATCTTCCTCCAAAGATCAGGGAAATACCAGTGTACTTAAAATGCTTAATCTGCAATTCATTCAGAAGACTTGTAATTTGCATAAGGTACTTCAGCATGATATGAAACACCTTTTGTGAGTGAGAGATATGAGTAATAGCTTTGCAAGGCTGAGCAGATAAGAATAAAGAATTGATGTGAAGAACAATCTTTAAGCATTGATGTTCTCATTTTGCTTCAGTTGTAGGTGGTATTCACAGCTCACTTCTTATTACATTCATAATAGTAATTCCATTCTTCTACCCGAAGTACCAGAGTAGCAGTCTATGAATCTGGAAATTTCATACATAATGTCCTTTAAAGGTCTGTTAATTTCTTTTACTACTTTTCATAGCTGCTGTAGCCAGTTCAGCATTTTCTTAGGAAAACAGAATTGTCATCTCTACCGCTTTTATAATCAGCGCTAACAGGAAGAAGAAACACAAATTGGCTTCTTGGGAGTATCTGTATATGTTTGGTAAATTGTGGAATGCCACTTTGGGATTGGATTAAGAAAACCCAAACAACCTATCAAAATACTGTAGCTCTTTTGCCTCTTATGTCTGAAAAGAGCTCCCAGGAAGCTATGGGCTATGCCTGGTGTCCCCTTTTACTGCTAAATGGATGCCTATTGCCTGGAAGGGCTATCATCATACTTTTTAGAATGGAAAGTAGAAGCAGTATCTCTGTAATAAGCAAGGCACCTTTCTTCCTGAAGCTGATGAATGTTACATTTCCTGTTATAAAATATTTAAGTTCCTACATGCATAAATGGTGAAGACCCCTCCAAACAAGCTAGGAACATGATTGTTTTCCAACTACAGGCAGTCCTCATTTAGCAACCACAATTGGGATCAACCACTCAGTCGTTAAGCAAAGCAGTCGCTAAGTGAAACCACCATTGTGCTTATGATCTTACTTCAGTTTCCTTTGCTTTACAGACCTGTGAAGGTCATAAATGCAATGATTGGTCATAAAGTTACTTTTTCATCACCATTGTAACTGTCAATGGTCGCTAAACAAGGCAGTTGCTAGTTATGACCATTTGTTCAGTGACTGTTCAAAGTTATGACGATGCTGAAAAAGGAAACTTATGACTGGTCGTTGAAGTTGTGGCCATCCAAGTACCCACATAGTCATGTGACTGCAATCTTGGTGTTTAGCAACCCATTCGCACTTATGACTGGTTGCCAAGTGGATCATAGGATCACAGGATGCCCTGCCAGTTTCCCCCAAGCAAAGTCAATGGGAAGCTGGCAAGCAAGGTCACAAGTTGCTGGGGTAAGTCTCCCCCCGCCTGGGCTTTCTTTGCTTACACACCCTGTGCCCTCCTTCCCCCCTTTGCTTGCACATGCCGCAGGCCCACTTTCCTCAGCTTCCCTGCACTCGCACACATGCATGCACCCCATGCCCTTTTCCCACAGCCTTCCTGAGATCACACACATGTACCCTATGCCTTCTTTCCCAGGCTCCCCTGCGATCCCACCCACCCCACGCCCTTTCCTCGGCCACCCTGCGCTCAGACACATGCACGCATGCACCCTGTGCCCTTTCCCTGACCTCCCGACGATTGCGCCCAACCCACCCCTCTCCACGTCCTCCCTGTGATCACACACACCCTGTACCCTCTTTTCTCAGCCTCTCTGCACTTGCACACATGCACTCCAATGCCCTCTTTCCACAGCCTCCCTGTGATTGCATACACCCTGCACCCTCCCTCCTTGGCTTCCCTACAATTGCACACCCACACCCACACCCACATATACTGCACCCCCTTTCCATGGCCTCCCTGTGATTGCACAATGCATGCACGTGCCCCACATCCTCTTTCCTTGATATTCCTGCACTTGCACATATGCACACATGTACCCCCATGCACTCTTTCCACAGCCTCTGTCCAATTGCACACATCCTGTGCCCTCTTTCTTCAGGCTCCCTGCATTTTTACACATGTACACATGCACTCTGCACCCTTTTCACGGCCTCCCTGCGATCGCACCCACACCCATACCCTGTGCCCTCTTTCCACGGCCTCCCTGTGATTGCACACATGCACGCACATACCCCACACCCTCTTTCCACGGCCTCCCTGTGATTGCACACATGCACGCACATACCCCACACCCTCTTTCCACAGCCTCCCTGTGATTGCACACATGCACGCACATACCCCACACCCTCTTTCCACGGCCTCCTTGTGAGCGCTTGCACCCCATGTCCTCATTCCCTGGCCTCTGAGTTCATGCTGCACTGAGCACCCACTTCCCCAACTCGTGTGCAGCCTGCATTGGGCCTCCCAGGGCCTCCCCCACCCCTCAGCGGCACCCCTGCACTCCTTACCTGGGACTCCCCCCCCTTTCCGCTTAATGACCTGTGTGACTTGGGTTATGACAACTGGGTCTGCGTGGATTGCTGTCACTAAGCCATGTGCTCACATGACATCGCGCTTTACAACTGCATTCATACAACAGCAATCCCAGTCCCAACTGCAGTCGTAACTCAAGGACTACCTGTACTTTATTAGAACATATTCTCAGAGGAAAAGGAATAGAGGTAATAATTGTGGTAGAAAGGGCATATATAGGTTGATTGTTACTTTGGGAAATGCAGAACTACAAACTGCCACAAAAATGTAAAATGGGAATTCCCTGACATGGATTTTAAAAATTTAATGAGTTAAATTAAGAGAAATGTGAATGTTGCTAACAAATAGGTTCAGAATTGCTGGGCTGGGGAAAAGATAGTTATCCCTAAATGTATGTGATGAAAAAAAGATACATTATTTTAAATTATCTGTGCCAAAGAGTATAACTGGAAGGGAGAGGTGAAAGAGTAAGTGTAGATGTAACAGAACCTCAACTTGCATCAGTTATTACAGGATAGAGTATCATGGGTCCTGATAGACATCTCTGTTTCTTTATTAGGAGACAAAAACACAAATTTGGGAGAGACCACTGCAAATAATTCCATTTCTGGGAAGCAAAAGTTGTAGTGGGGGAAAAAACACCATGGAGTGGAAGCAGTTGCAGAAGAAAAGTCAGGGGAAACAGGAAAAGCAGAGGGAGACATAGGAAATCAGCAGTGGTGACAGAGCACCCATGGACGTAAAACTGGTAGTTGAACTGCTGGGAAAACTGCGAGGGATGACATTATAGGGAAACAAGTGGGTGGCAAGGAAACAGTGATGAAGTTCAGGGAAAGGGAAATTATTTACAGTGTCCAAAAAGCAGGAAGCTGAAGAGTTTTAAAAGGGTCACAGACAGACCCTACTTTACAAATGTCAGAGAAATGACTGAACTCCTTATCATTCTGGGACTGAAAACTCAAGAGAACAGATGAAAGGAGTCAATGATTTCCTGTGCAGAAATTTGTATCCCCAGAATAGCAAATTAGCTTGGAAACCTATTAAACTATTTAATGATGCCTGCCAAATTTAGAGATCAGTTATTAGAACAGCCCATAACTTACTATGTGCTGGATAACAGTCCACATAAAACAAGAAAAACTTTAAAAGCTAATTTTTACTAGTCAATATTTTTTTCCAAAGAAAATACTTATTGCCAATAATGCCTAGTGTGTCAAAAGAAGGGACAATGGACAGAAGGTGAAAGAATAGTTCCTTTACTATAGAACTGAAGTAGATATTATTAAAACTTTTCCAAACCCTTTGGAAAATCCAAATCCAAAAGGAAGGGATTTATCTGGATTGTAGCTGATCGATTAGTTACAAACATTTCCCATTTTTTAAAGAGGAATCTAAAGGATGGAAATCAACAGGGAGAGAAGGGAACTAAATCATTTAAATCAGGACTGGATTTCAGTGTGAATGGTGATGCTGGTTAAGCAGAATGAGGTTGCATTAAACTGGAAGAAGTTTAGGGAGAAAAAACAGCAGCAACAGCTATAAATGTAAAAGATCATCCAATCCTAGAAAGAAAAATGTGATGCTGACATTTTATTAAGACAGGAAATATATACTTTAAAAATATACTTTAAGGCCAAAGACACACTTCTGCTTTGAAAAGTTGCATTGTGGAAAGAGAGCAGCACAAAGCTTGCAGAAGAGGGGGATATGGGCAGTTCCTTCGAGGAAAAGCAGAGACATGAGAAGGATTCTCAGGAGTTTGGGGAGAAGAGGGACAGGAAAGAAAAGGAAGATAATCAGTACAGAGGAGCACCGGTAGACATGGTATAAAAGGAAACAATCCTTTTGTAAAGAAGCATAAAGTAATTAACCTCTAAACAGAAACCACTTATATATCCATTTTATCTTTTCTATTATTATTAAATAAAGTTTAAATTGTTAATAAAAAATTGGGCCTCTGAGTTAGAGAGATGGACTGTACTGTATTCCCCAACCTTGCCTAAGATGCACCATTACCAGAAGAGCTGCTGGTAAGAGGGATGAGCACATCAATATAAGGATTTTTATCAGTTTTGGAGTGGTGGCAGGGAGATTTTAGACTACATTTATTTATCCCCAGAATAAATTTAAAAGAAACAATACCACTTCTGACCAATTAACCCGGTTTCCCCATAACAGAAACAGAGGAACAGACAGCTTTTCACATGGATGGACCCCTCATAAGGGACATTTTCAAACAATCACAAGAATACATTTAACAAATCCTTAAATAATTTATTTTTGCTGCTGGATTTCCCTTCATCATCTTCCCCATTCCATATTTACAAGAAGGATTAGTTTTTAAGGAAGACAAGAATGAAATAAAGAGTAAATTATTGTATCGGAAATGTGCAAATTTCAAAATTACATTTTTTGAAATAATATAAATATTTAAATATGTCTTCACATTTAACAAAGATCACAAAATCATATAAAGAAATTTCAATAGCAAAGGACCATGACGTTAGCAGTGTTTCCCATAATGGAGAAGAGACTATAGTGAAGGATTAAATATACACATGCAGAATGCAAGAAGCCTCAGTTAGCGTTCATGCTTTTCCCCCCAGTCCTATTCAGAGAAAGAATAAGAGACGCATGAGAGCCTGGGGAAAAATGGAAGATTTAGATGGCAGAGCTCCAGACATTTTCTTGTTTGGTGCTTAACCCAAATAATATGCAGATGTGGCAGATAATGGCCTGAGATTGAAAGCTGACCCCAAGCACTGAGGAAATAAATAGGATTTTACAGGAGTGGCCCTCTTACAAGCAATACAGAATATATTTTCTCCTCAGTATTAGATATATCAGCAGTCAGATACAACTGAGGACTGTAGGGATGTGTGAATGTGAAAAACAAACCAAAAAACTGATCCTGCCTCCTTTGGGAAGCTCATAGGTCAGAAGTTAAGGCTTAAACTGTAAGGGCTCAGTGACCCACAGAAGATCTGCCTTATTTCTCAGTAAATTCCAAAAGGGTTGGGACAGTTCAGCAAACTTTTGATCAACTAGTAGAGGTCAGGCATGAAGAGAAAGCAGCTTTGTTATACCATCAACAATACAGACATTCACTGTTACACCCTACTCTCAACGGACACAGAGTAGGTTCATTCTGATCTGTCAGTCTGCTTCCATGTCAACCAATATACATGAATATCTTTATTCAGGAACTTTTCTTTTTCTTATGTCCCCGTCCCCCCCCCCACTTTTTTTCCTCCCAAAATGATATACTTAAAAGTACCTATGTTCTTTCACATTCTAAATTATAAGAGGTTTAGTAACTACATCCTCTTTCAAACCACACAGAACAGTAAATGGAAAAACACCAGTCAGCGTTCCAAGGCCAAATTTTTATGGGGTTATAGCTGTTCTACGTGCATAAAACTTTCATTTGGAAAAAATACTAAATAAAACAAATAAAACAGCAGCAGCCAGCCACTTAAAAAGGATAAGCAAGCAAAAATTGTAAACAGTTCTCCCACAACTTCCTAATATTTTGTTCAGTCTTAGCTCTACCATATCAGCATTTTCAGAGCAATCAGACACACAATTTTGATGACTGTTGTAGAAAACTGGTCCTTTCAAAACTTTGGCTGGTTTCACTACATTCAGAATGCTCACAATTTAGACAGAATGCAAGAGACATATCAGCAAAAAGAGCATGCAAAGAGCAGCATTTATCTATTTCTCTCATACATATAGATATTCAATACAGAACAGAATCCAAAATATTCTGGAGAAAAGGGGTTTTGTAGTCAAGTATAAAATGTCCTGCCAATTGCCATCTGTGCCAGAAGCAACCTACTTTTCCGTCCCAGGATACAACATTCTGGACCATGCATTTATTTTTCATTTGGAAAAAATACTAAACAAAACAAATAAAACAGCAGCAGCTAACCACTTAAAAAGGATAAGCAAGCAAAAATTGTAAACAGTTCTCCCACAACTTCCTAATATTTTGTCCAGTCTTAGCTCTGCCATACCGTGTGTACCTACATCCAACATACCGTGTGTATCTACATATACAAAAAAAAAAAAATCAGCTTATTGTTTTCCCCCCAAAGTCACCTTTTCACAAAGAGTGAAGAGTATCAGGCCACAGCAATACAGTTAAGTGTTTTGGATATAGCACCATTCTTTTTTCCTTTTGCCAGGCAAACAAAGGCATTTGCTATCCATATATTTGTTTGAACTGATAGCATTCATTGCAGTAGCCACTGCACTTGTTATTACCATAGTGATCACAGGCAGGAGCTTGGCAGCGCTGTTTGGGAAGATCGTCCGCTGGAGGTTCTACCTGAGGTGTTCCAGACTGTCCCCGTTGGCTGACACGCAAGCATTCTTGACACACTTCCCCACTCCTAGAAGCTAAATTATTCCTACATGAAGCTTTAGTACATTTGCGTTTTTGAGAGCTTGTAGTTTTCTGGTGTAAATCTTGATGTTGTCCCGTTTGCTGAAAACATTAAAAGTATCTTTTAAATGGAAAGCAGTTAAAGTTCTCTCTTTCAATAAACCTGTTGCTTGTCTATTAGACTTCAATAACTACTACGGATAAAAGAGATACTTAACAGAATTTAGGTATAACCTGAATATTTTTTAATCATTCCTTTTTAAAAAAGGAAAAACACTTCATTATCTTGAAAACTGTAATGACTACAACATGGAGAATGAGTGAACAACTGCCTGCATGTTAAATAGATTAGCCCTATCCTGAGTTAATCTAAAACCTGGATTTTCTAGTTGTGGTAAAGGTCAGCTTCCCTTTCCTCCCACTGCAAACAACTATTTCCTTACACATTTTATTATGATCTAATCCCTATCAATCTACTGATTACTGAGGAGTAGTAATATCAAAATGACCCATTATGACCCTTTCTATACAGAAAGAATCCTCTATAAAGCAATATTTTTGCTAATAAAAGCAGAAAGCTTAGGTTTCCTCCTTTCCAAGAAGCGGGCAAACATTTTTCATATTACATAATCCTCCAGAATCCTCAACAATGAACACATGAATTCAATAGAAGGCAATGCTTTTGCTGATTCTTTCATGGAATCATAAAGACTTTCTAGGAAAATAGGTACAAGATTACATTGGGAAGAATGAGTTGCATTTGCTCGCTGACCTCTGATTGTCTCACTATTTTGTCTTCAGTTCTTGTGGCTTCACGGAGTCGCTTGCTCTGGGCTTCAATAAAACATTTCTGGCAGTATCCCTCAAGCATTGTGTTTCCTATTGTGCCACACTTTCGGCCTGGGCAGGAAACGGTATTCTGGTAGACGGCAGCTGAGATTCCAGGATGCTCCAAAACAGGAGAACTCACAGAAGACCTTCTGTGATGAAGCACGGAAGCCTCTACAATAAGAGAACAGGCCAAAAACAATCATTCTAATGTAAATGCTGAGGACAGAATGATAAAAGGGCCAAGTTATCTATTTTACCTCCCACATACTGCAACCGCGGTACTGTATTCAGAAGAAATGCTGAGACATATAATTTAGGAAGGCTGTTTTTTAAAACTCTCTGGGGCCTTTTGATAGCTACATAAGAAGCTGGTGACACTTTTTCTCGCAGTGAGATGCATGAAGAAGGACAGGCATCAACTTTCTACTTTTACTATACTTTTTAGTAGAAATAGTATTTTACTATTTCTACCTATTAACCTATTATACAATTGCTATGAATTTCAGTTCCAGATGAATTCAGAAAACAATGTGAAGATCTAAAGTGCCCCAGTAATAAAATTTATCACTAATATTATAAACAGATGTAGTTAGGGTTCTTCTGTGTACCTCAGCAAAATCTGAAAACAGCACTGGAATTTTTAACATTATGGTAAATGACTAATGCAAGCTGAGCAAATTCTACTGTGGCTGCATGTTTCACCTCACAATATAACACCCCAAAGACTTCAGAGTTATGTACTACACTTGATCTTAGTCAAAAGACTATTTTGTTATACTCCATTTGCATTTATCTGGTGTTTTCTTGCAAATTCAAAATGTAGTCCCTCCCAACTCGCAAAGGAAAAGGAAAATAGAACCAAATGACATTCTCTTACTTGCCTTTATTTTCTTGATATTCAAAATAACATAGGGTACAAAAGCCTTCGTTCTGGAGAGTCCCAAAAAAACTACAGCCAGGCTTCCTGCATTTACTGCTTCTCATCCTCTCTTCTGTTCTTTGGGGCTGAACACATGGTAGCACTGCCACCTTATTGCTGTTGGTCACTGTGTTGCAGGAATGCTGCAAAAAACTTTGTGATAGATGGGTAGGATCAGACGTGGATCTCTGATGGCTTGAAGGCACAGTACCAGAGCTGGCATTTGAGGAATGGTCTCTAGTCCGTTTGTAACAAGTGCTACACATTCCCTTGAAGGTTCTATTGGTGTCCTTAAGGCAGGATGTGCAAGTCACGTAATTTGAATGCCTCGGGTCACTTCGGCTATTGCAAGAACTGACCTCTGTAGAATTGTAGCAACGTTCACAAAGCCCATTATATTGCACATTCAGTGTAAAAGGGCAGCCTGGGGTCCTGCATTTCATGGCTGTTGTTTCACTGTATAGAAAAAGACTTGGAGCTGTGGGGGGTGCAGAACGAGGCTCAGTGCTGGAATTTTCAGAGGTCCAGGCAGGAGGCTGCTGGTGCTCATCCTTTGGGTAACTGGACCTATTTACTCGGGGCTTCTCTGAGCCTGTCCAGAAATGCTGCCGCTTTATGGTATTTGCCCGTTGCCTTTGTTCAGAGCACTCGTGGCAGTATGGCTGGGTATTCACAGACATGTAGAAGGGGCAATTGGGAGTTTCACATTTTGCCTCCACAAGGGATAGCTGAGATAACTGCAGCTCCAGCCTGTTCTTTGCACCCATATCCTTCCCAATATATTCACTGCTTTCTTTCCATCTCTTGTACTCATGTTGTACCAGCTGAAAGTAATCTTCCACCAGATTAATCTCTTTGGGCAAGTTACCTTCATCCAACCTTGAAAAGCAAAGAAACAAGGAATTGGTATCACTGGAGGGAGAAAAGGCAGTGATCTTATACAGGCAGGGAGGAAACTGGAAAGTTGGAAGAACTGTTAATTTACATAATCACAAGTGTAGCATTACAACTGCAGAGCCTACACTAATAATATGTTATGGAAGGAAGCAGAATTAATTTCAAAAAGATGAAATTATGGGGAAGAGCTTCATGCGTACTTGTGGAAAGAGTTGATAATGACATTAATGCCTCTTTTAGCACGTTAAGAACACTATTTATTCATTTGTTTATTTATCTATTGAATTTATATGGCTGCCCATCTCCCAAAAAAGTGACGTTGGGCAGCGTACAACAACAAAGTAAAACAATAAATATATAGAAAACAGTCAACACAGACTAAGTTGTAAGGTCCAGGTGGCTTGTGGACCTCCATTCCTCACTCAAATTAGATTTTTCTCTATTAAATAATTTGACTTCTCATCACAACACAGTTTTGTCTGGAAATCATTCTAAATATTACAGCAAAAGAAAGTGGTTGGTAAACTAGTTTAGTTGGAATACCAGCTACGGCCCCTTCTGGTCCAAGATACTTTTGTTATAGTTTACTTATTCCACAGAAACATTCAGCCTTGATTTCTGCAATGCTCTATACAATACAATTGTAATGTTATGTGGGAATGACATTGAGAGACAGGGCAAAGAGACACAACCAAGGGAACAGTAAGATAAAAGGCAGCTGAGCTCACAGCAGGAATGTGGACAGGGCAACCAGCTCAGAAGGGCCCCCCCCCCCCCCAGTTTCTTATATATACTTCCAGACTTGCAAGATTTCTTTAATGTAACCTTACAATAAAGTGTAATTAACTAATCTGGCCATGTTTCCTGTCTGGTCTAGCCTGACAACAATGTACTATTCAGGAACTTCATTTAATACAGTTGTGGGAGTGGGAGTGACCCGCTCCACTGAAGCAAATAAGCAACTGTAAAGAACAATAGTGTTATAGCACACAGTGGAATGGACTCTGGATAAGGTGATGCTGTTTTAATCAGCAGGTGGGCCACTTTTAAATTGCTATTACCTGTCTTCCTTTGAGAAAAAGCCTTGCTGGTGGACATTTTGAAAGACACCAAATATAATATTCTTTGGGAGGGGGGCATATGCACATACTTTTCATGGAACTCGTAGCTGCCCTCCAAGGACTAAATACACATTCAAGCTTTTGATTTGTTTGTGGATCAGCTGCTCATTTCACTTCTTTTTAATTCTGCCTTATCTTTGTTCCCAACCTGGGAAGTTATTTCATGCCATTCCAGAAGAATAACAGAAAAGAGGCAGATTCAAAGAACTGATTGTAGGAATCTGAGGAGCAGTATGGTTTAATGGATATAATGTGGAAGTGAATGGCATTAAGCTTCCATAAGGTAAGCCCTGATTCAGATTACTGCTCCATGACAGTAATTGACGGGAGGGGTTTACAGGCTTCTCATACAGTTAAAAGAACATGAGAAGGGGACAGTAGAGTTGTATGAGTTTGCCCTTCAAATGCCTTGTGCTGCAGCTATGTTCCCCACTGATAACACCTATAACAGTGGTACTCCCTGTCTTTATATATGGCCCTCTTTGCAGAGTAGGTCCATGGCTCGTCTTACAAAAGGGAGCTCTCTGGGCATACATTGGTATGAATGAACCACTTTTTTTCATGGGTGGAAAGGAATTGTTTCAGGTAACGGTGTTGGCTGGGCGTGTGGCTTCCATCAATAATAGGAATGAAAGGATACGCATTCTTCTCCTCAACCTCCCCACCCCTGCCCCACATACACAAGAGGAGAAGAAGAGAAAAGCATATGAATATCCCTATGCCCCTGAGATAGATGAATTTCACAGAGTAAAATAAAACAATTTCATCTTGGACTGTCCTCCTTGGAGGAAGAGGGGCAATTACAAGGGCAATACAAATGCAGTAGACAATACCTATAAAAAAAAAAATTACTGGCTTCTGACTGAAGATCTAGAGCAGGATCTGCATTCACTATTTTTTGTATCTTCCTGAACTAACACATATGCTTTGCTTGTTTGTTCTTATTAACACTGTATGTCTTTGAAGAGGGTGCTTACAATACTTAAAAAATTATCAAATAATAATGCTGGAAGGGGAGAAGATTTATACTAACTTTGCAGCATTAATGAGATGTGTTGTCCCTGGGTCCCATCCTTGTACAGGAATTTCAATCACCATTAGATAGTCTCTTAGCAGTTTTTCTTTCTCCCTTTCTTCAGAGTCAGTTAAAAAATGCACTTTTAAGTCTTCAAACCTGCCTCTTTCACAGCTGACTAATGGAACTGCCCTGATTTCTGTAGAAAGAAATAAGAAAAAAAGAATGAATAAAATAGGATAGAGAAGAGTACCAAGCAGCAGAAGGCACTAATAGATCAAGTTTGGTAATCTCTATCAAAACAACCAATGGGACTTAAACAAAAGTCTAGTAATGGCATTCATTAGGAACAATCAAGTGATTAAAAATATAGGAAATTCTAAACAAGGCAAATAACTTATCTAAAGTGACTATAACAATTCAAAATAGGTTTGTGATTGTCAGCTTGGAGGGCAAAGGGAACAGGAAAAGGTAAGCACAGTATAGAATTGGTAATGTTCAGATGCATACCTGGCCCACTATCCTTCAGAATAACCAGAGGGGTGAAGTGCATACTGTCATAAGCAAGAATGATAGGATATCGGTAACAATCGTTTGCTGACCAATGGAGAGGCAGATAAACGCCACCAACATTCAGAGGGGAAAAGCTGGAACCTGACTGCAAACTTCTGAGCATTTTATCTGTTTAGATTTGAGAAAAGATGAACAGGTTGAGTTAATATTAGGCTCTTCTATTTTAATTTCTAAACATTCACAAGGACATAAACAACTCAGCGTGACAACATCTTTAGTTGATTTGGGGAGTATGAAGGCTGGAAAGTGAGTAAAGTAATATCATAAATGTGGGGGAGGCTGGGTAGGTGGGAGTTTGGTGGATTTTTTATGCCTAGTCTAGGACACATACATTACGATTCTATTTTTTTCCACTTCAAAACTGTAGGAAGCCATGCTGTTTTTGTTTTTTAAAAAACCATCAAAGTCAAAGGGGACTCTGAAAGTTGGAAAAAGGGAACCTGGGAGTCACCTCAAGCCTGGGGGCTGCAACCCGGCTCTAGAACCTTGATTGCACATTGTACCAAATCACAAGTGCAAATGGTCCCTCAATGGATGAATACAGGGAGGGAGGGAGGGATTACTGTTGGGGTCAAATGATGAAATACTAATGTATTTCTTAGGCAATTATTATGCGGCAGGGACATACCTCAAATTAACGAATGTGGGCTCATAAAATAGGGCCTTAGAAGTTTTACTATTATATCCATAAGTTCTTACCTGCAACAACTATGATGGGACGCCTTAAGATGTTAGCAAGGACAAATATATGGATTTCTTCCAGAGAGGTATACTGAAGACCTCTGTGCGCAATTGACGTTTCTGCAGATGCCATTTTAATAAGATTCTCCCATTCATCTTCCCAGTTCTAATGTAGAAAAATAAGATGCATCAGTCATCATCATGCCTTGCACACCAGAAGTACACTTAAATATATTTTTCTTTTGTGACAAATAAATATATTTTATAGTATACCAGCTACTGAAAGATTGAAATGCTGATAATTTCACTATTGAGGGTAAATTCATTCTATATTTATAATCAAAACTAATCAGGTGGTTGTTTTTACTCTCACTCCCAATCATTTTCCTGGAAATCAATTCTAAACATGAGCAGTCCAACACTGGTTTTATTGTTGTTTTAATAGCCTGCCTACACACTGCTACTTTATTTTATATTCTATGCATGCCTATACCAAAATAAGTCCCAATGGGCTGAATGTGTCTGTATCCTAACCTATGTGTGAGCATGAAGTGACGGTAAAGAGATGTGCAATGGAGCCACTGTCTCATCCTGAGGCTACCAGCTCACAACAGGCTGGGGAAGAGGTGAGGATAGACATAATATTCGCCTGCTGGTTGGATCAAGGTATTTCAGCAATCATGAAAGGTGCAAGCTAGGGCCTGATAAGCAAAACAGGTTTTTTTTAAATCCAAGATTGCTCCTGATGCATTCCCTTTTGAAGCCTATCACAGACAGAAACAGCACTGCTGGCACTTCTACATTAACTTCTAGTGGAACAAGTGACCAGACAAGTAACTACTTACAAGGCTGCCAGTTCAGGACTGAGTATCATTCTGCCTGCTAGGGAAGGACAGGCCAGCTCAGCTGAGCTACTGCTTTTAATCAGGGAGACTAGCGGATTCAGGAGAGAAGGTGGCTAGATATTCTTAGGATGATTTGTATGGACAACCACCAGCAATCTGCACAGTGAAACTGAAAACAGGATGAAAGACTCAACTGGCACAGACTCCAGGATGGAATAGATATGCCCATCCTGCATATTCCCAAGAGGCAGGAATTTTTAAAATGTAATATAATTGGTTTTGTTTTTCATTTTTACTAGTGTTGTAAAGAAATGTCTCTCAAAAATAGGAAAAACAGATGAATGTCAACTTTGTAAGATGTGGGTAGTCCATGGAAATAACCCAACTTGAGGGAGGTTACTTACTTTGGAAACTCCACAATAGTGAAACTCTTTGTTAATAAATTGGGCAATCCAATAAAGTTATAGGGTTACAATGTTTTAACTGGTTGATGGCTCTGCAATTTTACTTTCTTAAACTAACATAATTGCCTCCCATCTTGTGTAATTATCACAAACAATCACAATCCAACCATATCGAGATTTGAAACATTATTCCCTTACATAAACTGGATTGACTTACCCTGGTATCATAGCAGAGTCCTGTTGCCACAAATTCCTGCGATTTAAGTGTTTCTCGTTGCCAGCGCAGTTTAAAATTGCGAGTATCAGCTTCTTTAAGTGCACTAAATAGTGTTTTTCTCAGAAGCAAGTCAACATCTTGGACACCCCACATGTACTGGGAAGCAGCATGCATGAGACAATTTCCATCTCCTGCAGGAGAATGAAAAGTGAAGATATCCCAATATACATTACAAAAAGTATATAAAAGCCACTTAGACTACAGTGGAAAGCATTACGGAAAGTATTTCAAGCCTAGATATTTCAAAATATATATACAATGCCCATTGAACAGGAAATGCAGATGTTTCCAGAAGGAATTATTAAAGCTTCCTCAGGGAATTCTTAAAGATTTAGATAACATGCTCTGGTGTTTCACTGGGTTTTTCTAATCTAGCATCCAACAAAGTAAGGCAGACATCAGTATATGAAATGACAATACTGAACAAGTGACCCTAATGGGATGCTGAATATGCAGGAAACAAGAATAGATCCCTTGATGTACACAGAATCTTAGCGATAAGTCCAAACGGTGGGACAGGCAGGCAATTATAATGCAGATGTTAGGGCTGGCAATCTGCACAGTCACGCAAAAGTGAATGCAGATGCTGATGCAAACATTACCCTTCTAAGTATTAATTATTTTAAAATTTTAAAATATTACAGTGCCTTGTTTAATGCGTATTTATCAAGTTTCGAGAGTTAATTTTTGGATACGTTTTAATGTCTGCTTGCTTACTCTATTACTGTATAGAACTAGTGTGTAAGATCACAGAAACTGTCATTTTGTATTTTCCTCACATATAGATTAGATAATAAGAGTAAGGTTTATAAGCATTTTTAAAGTAGTATGTTCATCCATAAACAAACAAATATCTGGATTTTTTTTTTTTTCTTCAGAACCTAGTCAGTCTGGTTTTTGTTCTCTTGTTCAACTTAGGACAATTCATGGAGGGCATTTTCAATGGTACAGTGGGCTTACTATTTTTTTTTTTAGTAACTATGTTAAAAGGTTTTAAATTCAAAAGAAGAAAAAAGAACAAATGAGTGACATTCACTGCAATGCTGATTTATAGTCTTCTGGCTCAGCAAGCAGAAAAATATGGCACAGAGGTAGGACAATTATTATTACATCCTTTAAAAAAATTCCCTCTGCAAAATCTAGAGCAAAGATAAGAAGTTTTTTTCCCTATGTGTGCTTGTTTTCAGTTCTTTATTGAGAACTACCAGTCCAAAATTCCCTAAGCAACATTTGGAATTCCCCAGTGTTCAGATATTTGACTAGCAATTGAGTAACAGCTATTGCACTTCTTGTTCTGATGTACAGACATCTGAACTGTGAAGTACACACTGGACTTTCCAAGTGGGTGTGGCTAGGCTATGCTGGAATGCCTATTCATTAGAGAAGCGAAATTGCTAGTTAGTAGATGTTGGAATCTTTTAAAATGACATAGTTTCTTTCAATCATTGTCTTTTAGATTAACAAATACATGCAAGGTATGAGCAGCACCCCCATTTCTACAACTGCATTTAATTTTTGCACTGCTTTTGTTAAAACTAACTATACTACAACTGAAGGTGCATTTATTGTTCTGAAAATGAATACAGTTTCCTCTAAAATGAACATAGTCCTGTAAGAATGACTGCATATGGTTACACTTAATGATGCAAAAACTGCTTTTACAAATCCTGTCATTATCTCCATAGGGAAGAAAATATAACTTCATGTCTACGCAGAATCCTTCATATGCCTGGAGTCCTGAGATATCTTCTGCTCTCCTACCCCCTGCAGCCTCAGTTTCCCCCATTCCAGATGTACTGCAATAGGCCCAATCACTGCAATATTCTTTGCTCCTGATGCATAGCACAGGAGTAGTCAATGGTGAAGAACAAGATCTGAAAATGCCCATGGCAGCCATCCTTGTCTTGATGCTCTGCAAATGTGGACTACAAATTCCACTTCCCCAACCAAGAAGGCCAGGCTTGTCCAATACACATCATGAAGACGTTAGTTCAGAAGGAGGACCCGTGGAGATTCAGCTTAAATATGAACTCAAAGCATGGAAGCTAAGAAAAGTGTGACTGCAGGGCAGCAGCATCCATGGATTCGTCAAAGACTGCAGATGCAATGTGACAATCCAAGCTCTGCCTGTTTTTATGTGCTTCGATGTTGCACAGACATACAACAGGGCAGCACTTGGATTGCAATGTCATGGCCTCCATCTTAGTTGTTTTGACATTCTGCAGAGACTGCAATGCATGACTCAATAAATAAAACTTTCAAGGCAGAAAAGTAGAGGAATGTAGATTAGCAACAGAAAGACCTCTATATTTGAATATGGTAGCCAATGAAGAGAGATTTGCCTTTGTTTGAGATGAATCTGCCAGTTCTAGTGTTTGGCCTAAAAATGAACCTTTGATTTCTTTTTCAGAATTCATCACGACACATACTATTGATAACAAGTGACCAATTCATTTATAAAACGTCACAGTCCCATGAGGGGCCCTGATCCTCTATAACAATATACAGAAGAACTGGATCAGGTCAACACCTTTCTAATTTCCACAAAGGCCAATGAAAACTGGATATGGACCCTGTATGTGCTATACTGGATTTTTTTTTTTAAGAAACGGTATTTTTTTCCTTGGATGCTTGTTGTTCTTTTGTTTGTATTTAGATTTTTTAAATACTTTATGCTGCCCAGAGTTGCAGTGGGGTCTGGCAGCCTATAATTTAACAAATAAAAGTTGACAAGCAGGACACCAACACAACAATACAGTCCCATGTTTCTTGGTTACCTTCGTCTAATATTTGAGATTATTTAAATTATATATAATATATAGTCATTTTGACTAGTAGCCACTGATAGACTTGTCAATATTTAACTAATCCACTTTTAACACTGTCCAAGTTGGTAGCCATTTATTTTCTGACAGCAAATTCTTTGGTTAACTGGGTACTTTACAAAAAGTACTGTTTGGACCAAACAGTGAATGTGCAGGTATGCTTGCTCTCTTCCGCTTAAGTGCATGTATACATATACTTAGTCCATACTGACTAAGCAATATAATTTTATGATTGGGACATTAGCTAATTTGGGACTAAATTGCGATTACAGACATTTTAGGAAATGCAAAAATGAAGCTAGGTGAGCAACATATAAATCCTCTTTCCATGCATTAACTTGTGCATATACCTTTCAAATAGTGCCTAGCTCAAACCCCTTCCTATGGAATGTTTCAGAATTGGAAATACAGCCAAAGTTTAGAGAGATTACATTGGAAACACTGAAACTGAGAATGATGCCAGAGCTCCAATGAAGCTTTCTGACAAAGCACTAATCTGAAATTTGTATGAAGAACTCATCTCAGGATAACTATATAGAAGATATTATCTAATATTTTTGCCTACAGATAAATTCTTTTCTGTCCCCTCAAATTCTCATTTAATATCCAAATTTGAAGCATACCACTTGAGGGCCAATATTCATCAGATGTCTCTGCATAAAACTTCTGAACTGATTTGCTTCTTTATGTCATAATTTCAACCTTGTTTTCAAGACTTGATAGAATTGGGAATATGATTTTTAAACAAAAGTCATCAACAAATTCAGGAATACGATCTTCAACATTCACATCTCTTTGTGTAGCACAGAGTCAAATGATTCGACAAGCAACTGTAAGTGTCCCAATCACGTGATAATCACTCCTGCCATGGAAGAATTTGTAGCAGACGTCACATGGTGCTGACATAATGTAAACGGGTCAGAGTCTCTGAAGCTGATTTGAAAATACCAGGACCCACTTATTTCTTTAAAGCTCACAAAAATTAATCAATTCCCAAGTACAACTCCTGAGCTCTTTGTAAAATGAGCAGAATAAATATGTGACAAATAAATAAATACATTCCAAAGTTGGAATTCAAAAAATGCTAACACTAAGAACCAATCATTCCACCTCCTTGTTAAATCTGAACAGCTCTGGGTAGCACCATGAGCAACTGTGGAAGAAACTGCTGCAGATGAGCATTCAAATGCCTTTTGCTTGTATTTGGCATGACTGTGAGGATACCCAGGCTGTATGTGGCTCTAAGAAACCTATGATCTTGAATGTAACATTATATTTGTAAGAAATTAATATAACTTATATTCAGGAGTCCATTTGATAGTAGGAATACATTCCATTTTTAAAAAGAAGAGGAGAAAACAGCTTGTTCATAGTTTTTTCTTATTTGTGTTTTCTTTTAAACAGGGCTCATTCAAGGGCCATTGTTAGTCACTACTGACTTACCTGGTACCCTTCAGATGCATTGGACCAACTACAAGAATACCAAGCCAGCATCTGGGGGGCACTGAGTTGAGAATATTATTAGACGTTATATCTACCTTGCCAGAACAATTATAAATTACAATTATAAAATGAACCTGACTTACCATTAGTCTTCAATGGCATAAGTTTTTTAACTTCTCGACACCAATTTAACTTCTTTTGGCGCTCCAGTGAGTTTAGGGTTGTTTGGTCAATCAGGGATTTTTGAAGAAGTTTCTGAAAAGGTGGGCAAAACTGACACATTCTGAACATCTCTATGGTGTATCTATGCATAGTTTTAAAATGCTGGATAATTCCATTGGTACATTTGACAAGGTCTTCAGACATCAGTTCTCTTATCTTCACAGCTTTCAGCATGTTGCTCAAATATAAAGCCTGAGGAATGATCTGTGATCCAGCCATTTTGCAAGAAGAAACCTAAAAGGAGAAAACAACACTATTTATTTATGGCTTGCTTTACATCACACAGTTTGTCCTAAATGCCCTTTCTAATGCAGGTATATAAAAAGCAGTTCTGAAGGTCACTTTTTAAAAAATTACTCTCTGCATCTTCATATGGTTTATCATAAATCTTAAGCAAACACACACTTGCTGTTGAAATCTGCATCTAAGGGATATCCTTAGATGATGTCAGTTCTAGAGATACCACGGTTGAGTGTACCTAACACAGCAGAACTGGAGACCCATGATTACTCAGCTGTAAATCTTTCTGATGACAATGAATTTCCTTTTAGTTTAGAATCCCCCCATATATTTTTCCATTCCACATTCTCCTTATGATCACACTGTCTACTGACCTTGGGGAATTTTTTTTAAGTAGCACATGGCATAGCTTGGTTTCTTGAATTGCCTATCTTTAATTACATATTGCAGTCTGAAACTCTAGACATTATTAGGATGGTATGGATAATATTGTCCACCATTTGAGTAACTGGAACAGCTCTAAAGAATATTCCAGGTCATTATCTTATAAGGCTCCTTTTTTACAGATAATTAAAAACTTGTATTTCATTTAAATGCAGTGATCTCACATGCTCTATTTAGCAACACTAAGATTAGAAAAATCTGTCCCTAAAAGGAGATGTTTATAATAGGTTTCTCTCTAGGATTTTCTTCCTTAGTTTCAAGAATTGAACTACTATTTTAACCCTGTGCATGAAGCTTAAAAGCTTGGTGACATATGTTTCAGGTATTTAAAGGTTACCAGAATCTTTTGGTACAAAATGTACCAAAAAAAATGCAAAGTTTGTTTTAATCATAAAAGTAGATGTTCAGGGCAACAGGATAAAAAAAAAAAAAAAAGCTGTTGAAATGGCCATTACT